GCTGGTTATCGGTTTATTTCCAGATATATATCAAGGAGCTTATTAACTATGAAGTCTTTAAAAAAATTATTTGTTCAGATTTTTGCCTTCTACAATCCAACTACTGGCTGGGTTGAAATCTTAACAACAAAGTTATATGGTTTTAGATCCAATCTCCTGGTTGGTTAGTGCACAAGAGGATATTTTGGGTTCCTCTTCATCAAGGGGAGACTTGGAAACAGGCCTTTCCAAGAACTGCCCCATCCCAGTAAAATTGGCTGTCCTTCCATTCCAGACAAATAAAAGGCCGAGCTCTTTAAGAGGCCATCTGGAGACAAAAATTTGCATCCTGCCCCTAATCCACATTTGAGGGTGTTTTTTTTTTTTTTTACCTTTTATTTTTAGATGATTATTTTAATATTTATAAATTTTACTAGGACATTAGATGCCTGGGTGAGGGATATAGAAATGTTAAAAAAATAATGCATTTATAAGAATGGATTTAATTCATAAACATACAATTTGTACAAGCACAGAGTAGGCGAGACCTGGCTCAAAAACAGTAACTGTGAGAGGGACCTTGTAGTCCTAGTGCAGTGTTTCCCAAACTTGACAATTTTAAGGCATGAGGAATTCTGGGAGTTGAAGTCCACATGCCTTAAAATTGTCAAGTTTGGGAAACACTGTCCTAGTAGATAATCACTTAAAACATGAGCCAGCAGTGTGTGGCAGCAGTCAAAAAAAGCTAATGCAATCCTTGGTTGTTTAAAAAGAGGTATAGAATCAAAATCATGTGTAGTATTAGTATCGCTTTATAAATCCTTAGTAAAATCACACCTAGAATACTGCATCCAGTTTTGGTCACATTACACAAAAGATGTTGAGACTTTGGAAAAAGTGCTAAGAAGAGCAACTAAGATGATTAAGGGCCTGGAGACCAAAACATACGAAGAATGGATGCAGGAATTGGGTATGACCAGTCTAGAAGAGGGGGTCAACTTATTTTTCAAAGCACCAGAAGACAAGAAACAATGGATAGAAACTAATCAAGGAGAGAAGCAACCTGGAATTAAGGAGAAGTTTCCTAACAGTGAGGACAATTAACCAATGGAACGACTTGCCTCCAGAAGTTATGGGTGCTCCTTCACTGGAGGCTTTTAAGAAAAGACTGGACAGCCACCTATCTGAAGGGGTATAAGATCTTCTGCTTGAGCAGGGGGCTGGACTAGAAGACTCCAAAGTCCCTTACAGCTCTATCCTGATTATTATTTCAGAATATTACATAGTAAGCTAGGCGACAGAATCCTAAATACCGAAACTTGGTACCCATCTTTCCTACCCAGATCTGGCTTGTTTCATGCAATCCCATGAGGGAAGGTATGCTCAAGGACAACCTGCCACCTAAGATTAGGAATCTTCTTTAAAATGTTAACATTCCATAGAACATATGAATGCTAATAATATAGATCACTGACTTCATTTAGTCAGTGTGCTCTTCTTATAATGTTTTTACAGGTAATCCTTGACTTATAACAGTTCATTTAGTGACCGTTCAAAGTTACAATGGCACTGAAGAGAGACCTATGACTGTTTTTCACACTCATGACCCTTTCAGCATCCCCACGGTCATGTGATCAAAATTTGGATGCTTGGCAACTGGTTCATACTTATGAGGGTTGTTGGGTCCCAGGATCATGTGATCCCCTTCTGAGACCTTCTGACAAGAAAGGCAATGGAGAAGCCAATTTCACTTAACAACTATGTTACTAACTTCACAACTGCAGTGATTCACTTAACAACTATGGCAAGAAAGGTCATAAAATGGGGCAAAACTCACTTAACAAATGTCTCACTTAACAACAGAAATTTTGGGCTCAGTGGTGGTCATAAGTCAAGGACTACCTGTATTGCTAGTCCATTTCCTTTTGAAATGGACATGGATATTTGCACAAATAAAGCATAATAAACATCTGAAATGGAAATCAAAAATAAACTGAATTCCAAATGTTTTCTAGACTTAAGGCAGATTGAATAAATGATATATAAGGGAAAATGCATAATACGTGTTTATGCTTGTACCCTGCCTTTCCTCCAGCTCTTTTCTCTGATTTTGCTCACTTAACATTTAAAATCTTAGGCAACATTTGGTAAACCTTTAGTGCATGGATTTCATATGTTAAGGTTACTTACACATTAAGAAAGGTACAATTTAAGCTACATGACATGTTTAGCTAAAGCAAAGAGATGAAAGACTGCCCAAAGCCACAATAGGGAACAATTCTTTGGGACATGGTTTTCCCTTGCCTACAAGATAGGATGGGCAGAGGTGCAAATACCAAGCACAAAGAGTTGACTGTTTCTGGTTAATTCTTCAAATAATTCACAACTGAATGAAGCCAGCTTTTTTGGTGATAGGGGAGGGTACAGTAGCAGAGACCTGGCAACGTCCACTTAACTACATTTCTCAAATGGTGGATTTAGTCTTGATGGACCTCTTTACTGATTGTTGCAGGCCAAACTTTCAAAAAGACTGTCTCTTCCTGTACAAATTTGACTACACACATTGGTTCACCAGGCCTCTTATGGGTTCATTGTCAAAAGGAATTGCAGCATAATACTGTAGATCAGGTGTCCCCAGCCCCCGGTCTGCAGCCCGGCACCGGAGCATGGCTCGCCAGAAACCGGGCTGCACAAGTGCACAAAACCACACCGCCCCAGTTTGCGGGGAAAAACGCTCCCCATGGAATCTGTCCCTGGTGGCCAAAAGGTTGAGGGCTGCTGTTGCAGATAATCTAAACCAGTGGTTCTCAACCTGTGGGTCGGGACCCCATTTGGGGTCGAACGACCATTTCACGGGAGTCGCCAAACAAGGCTGTCCGCCATTTTTCCCCCCTTTTCTTTGGCCACGCCCCATGTATAAGTGGTTGGGGATCACCACAACATGGGGAACTGTATTATGGGGTCGCGGCATTAGAAAGGTTGAGAACCACTGGTCTAAACCTTTTGGGCACCAGGGACCGGTTCCGTAGAGAGATTTTTCCGCGGACCGGAGGGAGCATGGTTTCATGTACTGCCTGCATCCTGCGGATGGGGTTTTGCTTGCTTGCACGGAACGGTTTCTGGCATGCCATGGCCCAGTGCTGGTCCACAGACCGCAGGTTGGGGACCGCTGATCTAAAACGTAGTCTGCTCCTGGAGGTACTGACCCTTACAAACGTTTACAGGCACAGCTTCAACTATCTTCTGACTCAGGCCTTTCTACAGGGCATATGAACTCGTGGATTTCACTTCATGCAGAGGCTCTTCTTGACTTACCACCATTCATTTAGGGACTGTTGGAAGTCACAAGTGCACTGGGGAAAAAATGACTTAGGACTACTACAGTCCCCTCCCCCCCCCATTGGTTAGTGATCAAAATTTGGCAGGTATTTATGACGTTTGCAATGCCCCGGAGGTCATGTGATCGGGACCACCTGACCAGCCATGTCAATGGGGAAGCCAGAGTAATTTAACAATCCTGTTCCTAACTTAACTGCAAAGCTCGTAAAATGGTTATAAAATTCATTTAACAACTGTCTTGCTTAGCAATGGAAATCGTGGTCATAAGTCAAGGACTACCTGTATACTATTTAGTCAGGCCATTCTAAAAAGCAAATACTCCCATTAATCAGGTTTTATTCCGAGGAGCATAGTAAGAACATCATGCAGACATAAACAGAACCGTTACTGCTGCAGTAGTTCTTCGCAAGCCCTTCATGACTATGCTCAGCACTGAAGGCAAATGCTTAGGTCACCTTTAACATATTCTTCATGCTTTTATATATTTCTCAGAGTGAGGAATATACACAAACTACTCTTCAGACAGAATCCTCATTATGCCTGATTCAACTTAACTGGGAAAATTATTTCTTTCATACAAGGAATGGGGAAGGCTTTCCTTGGTAGTATTTATTTTATGTATATCCTGCTTATGATCTCTGACAGATACAATTTTCAGGATTAAAAGAAGAAATACAGATTTACAAAGAGGAAAATCAATCATCCTTATTTAGTCCCAATAAAGACGGAAAATATCTTGGTAGCAATATTTACTGTTCTTGTCAAATTTCTGTGTTTTGTCCAATTAACATTTTGTTGGATTTTAAAACTACTGAATCATCCTCATTTTTCAGACTATCCAAAGCACAGGAAAACTAGGAAGATGAAAACAACACTGAATTTTAATCTATTCTAAATAATAGCATAAGAGCTGAGAGGAAGCTCAACTAGCATTATCAGAAAAATCAGAATTTCAAGAAGGATTAAGTTGAGGATCCTTTAAAAAGTTATTTGTTTTGCTATGTGGTATAAGCTTCTAAAGATGCTGGGAGGTTATTATTCTGATTTTCAAGATTAAACTATTGGAAATATATCAACGCATTCCTAACTTTTGGAATTGTTATGATAAAAAGGAATTATGAGAGACTGTACGTGAGCAACATGCCTCACAAGATTTTTGCAATGGAAAAACTGCTCCCTGAAATTAATTCAGTATTTCAGCTGTTACGCAGGAGCAATTAAAAACACTCTGAACTCTAAAGGAACACTCAAGTTTCTGACGCTGGTGCAGCTGAGGGCAGCTTCAAAATTCCCTGGATGCTAAGAAGCACTTTGCCTCCGTATGATACATACAAGGAATAAATCTCCCCTTCGTAAGATGTGGTTTGTGTTCAGCTCAAGGCCAGCCAGACTCTGCAGCCAGTGGAAATCTATTTGGCAGGACAACGTTGGAAACAAAAAAAATGCAAGCAAACAAACCCTACATTCTCTCCGGCTCCTCTTGCTACTTGCAAGAGCTTTAAATGTAGCGAAAGCAAGTATGTCTGGCACGAGAGTCAAAGGGATGGGAATAATAAAAGAAAACTGGCAGAAAACGGCGGGGCCGCCTTTCCTACGTCCTCCTCCCCGGGCTCCAACGGCGGCCCAGCAAAGGCGCCTCCAGGCCATCGCTCCCTCCCCTCCCCCCCCCACTTTCGCCTCACCTGCTTAATTTCCTTTCGGCCTCTTTGGTGGCTTTGGCTTCCAACACTCTGCAAGAGAAAAGAGCCCGTCAGGGAGGCCGCGCCAGGCAGCCGCGCCGCTGCTCTGAGGGGCCCCGCGGAGGGAAGCCGGCCGGCCGCCGCGCCAAGAGGGCCTCCCCCGCGGAGGGCCGCCAGCCGGGCTCGCCGGGGATGCTCAGCCGGGCCGGGGCGGCGGGGGGGCGGCGCGGCCTGCGAGGGGGAGGGGCGCCCGGGGCCCGCCGGGACAAAGGCCGCCGACGCGCCGGGCCGACGGGGGTGGGAGGGACGGCGGCCTCGCGCTCGGGCCGGGCGGCGCCGGCCGCCTCAGAGCGGGGCGCGCTGCGGGGCTTACCGCATGTGCTTGGCGCGGGGGGCGGGCCTCCTAGGCGCGGGGTCCCGGGCCCGGCGCCGCTCCGCTGGGGGCCCTCGGCAGGCTCGCCTGGTCGCCGCCGTCGTCCGCGGGCGCCGCCGCCGCCCTCCGCCGCCTCCTCGCGCCCCCGCGCCCAGCCGCCATTTCCAGCCTCCCTCTCGGAGGAGGCCCGCCAGTGCCCGCCCCGCCCCCGGAAGGCCCGCCCCGCCGGGGAAGGACTTCCGGGCGCCGGGCCCGCCCCCAAGATGGCGCCCTCGCGCTGCCCGGCGAAGCGGCCCTGCCTTGCCCGGAATCTACGGGGCGCTGCCGGCCGCCGCTCCCTCCTCTGGGCCTTGCGGGGGAGCCCCGGGCCGGGGACTTGTGCCCAAGAGGGTCCCAGGTTTCCCGGAGCCGCCCCTCTGGGCTGCGGGGAGGATGCAGCGCCCGCCCCAGCCAGCACGGGGGTCGGGGAAGTCGGTTCTGCCCAGGCCGAGAAGAGCAGCTCCTCTGAGCTGGAAAGATGGACGCTTCTTGTCGCCACGCTCGCCTGAAGTCCTTGATTGCAGCTTTAGTCTTGCTTGTGACGGTTTTCAGGCCGCTGGCTGGGAGGGAAATCTGGGTTGAGCTTGTGAACAGCCACAGAGCCTTGCTGGGGTTCCGTATAGTTTTGTCCCCTGCCGTTGCTGGCCGCTTGGCATTTTCTAAGGACCTCTGCATCACCTCCTGCCTGGATCTGGATGGAAACGTCTAACTGGGTTACTACCATGCATACATAAACTGGCAGGAATTCCCCAGCAACCTGATATGCAGGTGTTATGAAAATGAGCCCCGTGGCACTCCCTATGCAAGTAGTAGAGACTGGGTTGCTAATCCTCCATTATCCTCACTGCCCACTCACAAAGAATGGGACAACTGCAATGTTTATTTCATTTATATGCCCGTTTGTCTCACATATGTGACTGGGCACCGCACACAGTTAAATAACAAATCTGAACAATTAACACCATTAAAATACAGTTAAAACAGAACCATAATAAAACACAACCACAGGAGAGTATGTTCTGAAATGTGCAAGATAAAGATCATAATGCAAGTGAAAGAGAGAGAGCAAGAGAGATACCTTAATTCACATCTAGCTCATCTTTCCAGGGGGTGGAAGCTGGGGCTATTCCATTTGATTTTAAAATTCTCCAATTTGGAGTGCAATTCCTTATCTGGGAGGAGCCAAATGGAGCATGGAAGGCAAACACTTGAGAGGGAGGGAAAACTTCCTGCTCTAAATTACTTTCACAGAGTTTGAGTTTTCATGGCTTTGCTGTATTCTGCCCATTATCTTGATTGGCTAGCTTATTATTTTTTTTTAAACCAACAAGACAAAACAAAACAAAGCAAAACATAGCATACACACAATATATATACTCCTCCTTTTTTTTACAGCAATTGCGTAACGGCAATCTATTATTTACATTTCCCCCCTTAATTCTTCTTTAGAATATTTGTCCTTATAGCCCCGTTATTTCTTATTTACATTTTTCTTCCTTCATGTTCTACTTCTTACTAAGAATAATTCATATTATTATTATACATTATTATACACATATTTTCACTTTTGACCTTTCCATGTTTATTCTCCTCTATTATTTCTAGTCTCCAACCAAACATACAACTTGTTCCATGTTATATAATACTCTGTGTCTTTCTTTTCTTTTATCTCTTTTGTTAATTTGTCCATCAGCACAGTCCAGGATTTTTCTTATTACTTCTTCCTCTGACGGTATATTCTCATTTTTCCAGCACTGTGCATATGCTATTCTTGCCGCCGTTATTATATGTAAAATTAAGTACCATATTTCTTTACTATATTTTCTGTTTAAAATACCCAACAAAAAGATCTCTGGTTTCCAGTCTACGGGTTGGTCTATTATTTCTTCGATCCATTTTCTTATTGTAGACCAGTATTTTTTTGCAACTAGGCATGTCCACCATAAATGATAATATGTTCCATGTACTTTTTTACATTTCTAGCATGTTGGCGAATTATTCTGGAACATTTTGGCAAGCTTTGCTGGTGGAAGATGCCATCTGTAAAACATCTTCAACTGGTTTTCCTTGAATGCCGCCGACATAGTCAATTTTATATTTATTTCCCATATTTTTTCTCATTTCTCCAATTCTATATTATATCCGAAATTTTTTGCCCATCTATTCATTCTGTCTTTGACAACCTCGTCTTCCATTTTATATCTCAGTAGGTATTTGTATAAATTGCTAATTAATTTTATTTCTGTTCCATGTAGAATTTTATCCAATTCTTGCGGCTCTTTTTGGATTTCATATAATTTTTTGTCCTCTGTATATTTAGATTGAATTTGTGTAAATGTCCACCTATCAATCTCTCTGCCAATGTCTTGTTCCAATTCTTGTTTTGTTTTCAAATTTCCCTGTTCATTTACTAATTCCTTGTATCTAATTATCTTATTTATATCCAATAGGTTTGGGTATTTCAGAGCTTCAATTTATTTATTGATTTATTTATTTATGAGACTTATACACCGCTTTAAGTGCAAGCACTCTCTAAGCGGTGTACACCAGTAAGCAATGTATATATATATATTTACATTGCCCCCAACAATCTGGGTCCTCATTTTACCTACTCCGGAAGGATGGAAGGCTGAGTCAACCTTGAGCCGGTGAGATTTGAACCGCTGACCTGCTGAACACAGTCAGCTAAAGTAGCCTGCAGTACTGCACCCTAACTGCTGCGCCACCTGCAGAAGGGGATCACATGACCCTGGAACACTGTGACCATTATAAATATGAATCAGTTGCCAAGCATCCAAGTATAAATCACATGACCCTGGGCATGCTGCAATGGTCATAAATGTGAAAAATGGTCATAAGTCATTTCAGTGCAATTGCAACTTTGAACAGGTTTTTTGTTTTTTTTTTTGGTCAAGTTTTTGACACCTTACTAGGTGGTACTCGAATATTGCCATATCCTAAAAGTGGTACAATTGGTAAAAAGGTTGAAAAGCCCTGTTCTAGGAGGATCAAATATCAATTGTTTTATGTAAGGGAGCCAAGGTGGTTTGTCTCCTTGGGGTACAGGCTGAATAACATTTCATACAAGCTGCTCTGAAACAGGCCTAAAGATACATCACCAAGAAGAGGTCCCAATGCCACCTGTCGCCAGACTGTGCAGCATGCCTCATTGGCCAAGTGCTTGAGTTTCCTTCCCTAAAGTGGCCTGCAGTACTGCACTCTAACTGCTGCGCCACCTCGGCTTCCAGTTGGGGATAACCACATTGGAATTCTTATATGATGTTTTTGTTTTATTTTTTCCCAAGTCTGTAGCAATGCATTCCTAACTATGTGTCTTTGAAAGCATCTGTGTATTTTATGTTTTTCGTCCCATAGGAATGCATGCCACCCTGCTTGCAAGTCATGTCCTTCTATTGTTAAAACTCTCGTATTTTTCAAATCCATCCAATCTTTTAGCCAACTTAGGCTAGCTTATTTTTTTATTAATTGTTTTGAATCCAAACCTCTAGGGGTGTCTTCTTCCCATTCGTTAACAAGGAGGAAACAATCAGTGAAGATCGTGTGGTTCATGTAAAAGCGATGACCCAAGGGATGAACTGATTGTGTTTATTAAGATTGGGTTGGACTAAACCATGCTGGCTCAGGAATTCTGGGAGTTGAAGTCCACGAGTCATAAAAGAGCCAAAGTTGCCTAAAGAGAATGTAACATATTGCAGAGGAAGCTACTGTCGCTCCTCAGAAAATGGTATCAGATGGAACTGTACTTTAGTGTTAAGAACAGAATCTTGAAAGCCCAGGCTTCCCTCTGTCTCCTCTTGTATCAAACACAATCAAAGTGGGGTTATATTGAATTTCTTTTCACACCCTCTTCCTCCCTAGTGGTTCTTGCATTCCTCCTTCCAGGTTATATCTGTGCACTGGGTAGCTTCAACAGTTGTTCAATATAGTTTCCTAACAGTAATCAGAGACTTCCTGTTGAAACAGACTGAAGCCACAACCTGATGCTTCCACATTTTGTCAAGCAAACAGGCCAGCTGCTGAGTGCTGCCACCTTGTTTTGCTTGATATTTTATCACACCTCACAAACTCTGCATTACAATGATCTTGACATTACCCATTTTCTGGTTAGATGCTGTGCTTGTGAACAGGAAACAGCATCTTTGTTCCTGCAAAACCAAAGTTGGTCTATATGTTTTAAGCAGCCACAACATTTGCTCTGCATCTGAGGAAGGCAGTCCAAAACCTGCTTCTGTTTCTCTGATGAAACTACTCTCATCCCCAGCTCCTAGGAAGAACTGATAGGAATATGAATTGTGCTCAAATAGGAATACAGTATGAATTGTGCTCAGATTTCCCCCTGGTGCTCAAAACACAGCCAGTTTGCAGCAGCAGGAGAGGATTTCCATCTGAGGGGAAGGAAGGAAGGAAGGAAGGAAGGAAGGAAGGAAGGAAGGAAGGAAGGAAGGAAGGAAGGAAGGAAAAAAAACAGAAAAAGAAAAAAAGAAAAAGAACGTTATTCAGTCAGTGGATCCGCAACAGCACTTTGTCAAATTAAACTGGAGAGCCTGCTCTGCTTTGGCTCTTATTATTCCACTTCAACTTAATAATAATAATAATAATAGTAGTAGTAGTAGTAGTAGTAGTAGTAGTAGTAGTAGTAGTAAAGTTGGAAGGGACCTTGAAGGTCATCTAGTCCAACCCCCTGCTCAGGCAGGAAACCTTATACCATTTCGGACAAATGGCTGTCCAGTCTCTTCTTAAAAACTTCCAGTGTTGGAGCATTCACCACTTCTGGAGGCACGTTGTTCCTCTGGTTAATTGTTCTGTCAGGAAGTTTCTCCTTAGTTCTAGGTGGCTTCTCTCCTTGATTAGTTTCCATCCCTTGCTTCTTGTCCTGCCTTCAGGCGCTTTGGAGAATAGCTTGACTCCCTCTTTTGGATGGCTTGTTCTGGATGGTTTGTTCTCTCCCATGTGTGGAACAAGAAAGGAAATAGTAGGAAACAGGAGGGGGAGGGGTCTTACATTGTCAGTTTGCAGAGGGTGGAAGCAGCCCAGGGCAGCTGCTGTGCTGGACTGAGGGCTGGTTCTAAGGTTAATGGATGAGCCCAACTTTATGCCCCACTGTGAAGATGAAAAGCAAAAAACAGAAATGCAGGAAA